GGTTGTCACACATGGTGCACATTGTGCCAGACATTCTAACATGCACCATCCCCTGCAGGATTCCTTGTGTGTGGGAGATGTGTAAATCTCCAAGCCCACTTTCCTAAAGAGGTCTGACCTGCTCAAGTTTTTAGCACCTATTTACATGCAAAGGATACACAGCTAACATCCTTATGGGGTCTTGGGGAACAGTAGATGAGACCCCTGTAATACCAGTCGAGCTGCTAGCAATAGCCACCAAAGCACTGACAGACCAGATGAGAGTGGTATCCACCCAACTCATTCAGCTATGTCACTTCTTCCAAATATAGGGAACTTTGGCTGGGTTGATATGATTTCATGAACAAGAATGTTCCCTCTAACAGCCTCAGATTATCAACCCTTCATCCATCCCCAGCCTCGTCTCTGCTAGAGGCTTGGGGAATGTGAATGTTGGGGTGGAAAAAGGAGTGTTCATTCACATGCATAAGCACGTGAATGGGAAATCAGCAGAGTTGCCCAGCACCGTCTAGGACTTCCTTGGTAATAAGCAGCGGTGAGAAAACACCTGCCCCCAACACAACCCATCTCAAACCTTCTTAGGCTGTTCAGAACCAAAGGCCAGGCCTTCCCACTCCCTCCTGTGTGTACATGTTGAGTGTACATCACACGATGCTGGCCCTTCTGTTGTTGTTTTTGGAAAACAAATGCTTTCTTCCAAGAGTCCCCTCCCAGTTAATATCTGTGCTCAGGACTCTGAGTCCCTGGACACATTACAATGGATTTGTCCAGGTCTGAGATCTCAACTTCATGATTTCCTCCACATCTTTCTGGTCTCTCCGGACCCTACTGGGTTATGATCCAAGCCCTCACTGGCCTAGAAGATACTTAGCAGCTCCTATGTCATGCCTCGCTCTTCTTCCACATTCTCACCACTTCCAGGATGTGGTGGAGCTATCACTGGGCCCAGTCCCTCCAGACTGCAATGTCTCAGCCTCCACAAGCCACATCCCTAGTCCACTGCAGGAACTGGGCTTAACCCCACCCCCAGCCCTGGGATCAGGGTCTCTGATAATTTATACAAACACATGCATCCTACCCAATACACCAAGTTATAGCCTCTTCATCTGCTTCTAAGACCACCTGTGAGTCCAACTACAAGACGCTGCTTGCTGTGGATATGCAGAACAGCGGGGCCATGTGGCTCAACCCACAGCAGGATGCCAGAACCGTCCACCTGTGTGGAGTCTGGGACCCAGAAAGGCAAGGAGAAGGTGCTTTCTGTTCTCTGTGCAGCCTGGAGGAGCAGCCACACACTGGGCTCCGCCTCACCCAGCTTCCCCGCCCACCACCACCTTCCAGGCAGAACAGTGCTCTGCAGATGGGCTGCAATTGACTCAGGCTTCAATCACTGCCTTGTGTCTGGATCTGCGTGTTCTTCTGTTGCCCTGTGACTATAGGCTCCCAAGGGCCTGGGCTGCTCTGTGGCCTTGGTTCCTCTCCAAAGGCTCCACACAGAAGGCGCTCCATCAGTGCTGGCTGCCTGTGTAGTCAGGAAGGAAGCTGACTGGGAGACTTGAGAGGACACAGAAGAATATTTGAGGAAACAGACTCTATGACAAACTCCTCCATTTCCACATCGCCCGTAAGAACTGGCTTCTTAAAATCACTTGCTAAGAAAAATAAGGCGGGTATTATTATGCTCAGCTCACAGATGGGGAAACTGAGACTCTGAAAGAAGAAGCAACATCATCAGATCACACAGCAAATAAAAATAAAACCTAGGCTCCAGGCACGGTGCTGCACACCTTTAGTCCCAGCACTCAGGAGCCAGAGGCAGGCGGACCTCTGTGAGTTCAAGGCCAGCCTGGTCTACAAAGCGAATTCCAGGCCAGCTGGGGCTACAGGGAGACCCTGTCTCAAAACGACAAATATATA